TATTACTTCTGGGCAGTTCGATAAATGCTTTTTATTTGGGGAGGGGACTCACGGATTCTGGACAGGACCTCAGCTCGTGTTCCCTGCTGCCAATCACAACTTTATATTTAGCTTATCGTTGATTTTAACGACTTTGCCTTACTTAACCGTGAATGTGTTCCAAAACATTTCCAAGGCGTGTTCGCGCAGAGGACCGAAAATAAACACCAACTTAATCACCAGCGTATCGTATCACTGGCATCCGAACGAGCCCCCAAAAATAATCGGTAAAAAGTAGCTTTTCTCGGGTATGTATATTTTCATTATTATCACATTGTCGTAAAAATTCGGCTAAAGTTGAACAAAGCGGCGAGGAACTAAACCAGTTTGTTGCACCTTGTCAACTGCACTGCACAAAGAAAGTTAAAATTAAAGCGCCAAATAAGCGCGGAAGATTTTGCACTCCGCATATGCAGATATACTCGTCGTCCAAGTGTTTAAATTAATATATACCCTTGTGCAGATATGAGTGTTTAATAGGGCAATTAAACGGTGCCAGTGACGGGCCCTTTCGGCCACTCGAAAATGTTTTTCTCTGGCCTGGCAAACCCTTGACCCGCTTAGCAGGGGGATTGGGGGGATGGTCAGCTCAGAAATCAATAGACACCTGGCGGTGACAGGCGAGGTGTTGGAACAAAAACCGAAAACGGAAGCCCACCTCCTCGATTTTCGTTGCACAAGTGCCTGTCTCTGGTTTTGATTTGCTTGATTTTGCTTGCCAAATGTAAATCACACAAAATTCGGTTTAAAGAGGTGGATTCCCGGCGGCCCCAGGTGCACGCCATTAAAGCCAAAGAAGTCACATGCTAATTGATGGCTCTGTCTGTGCCACAAAATCCAGTTGGCTGACTCGACTTGGTCTTCCCCAACGCACTTGCGTCAAGAGCAAATGCTACGACGGCTATCTGAGTCATGGCCGATTCTCAGGCGAAATACTTTCAAAAGTTTATATTATATTTTTCCCACTTACAAGGGGTTTTTTTGCGCGAGATCAGCACTTCGAATTGGTTCTGGCGCTTTTGTGCTAATTACCAAATCGGAAATGCTGCGGTTAATCTGGCCAACAAGAGGAAGATTTTATCCAATAGCTCTGGTTTTTTTTCTATGGCATTTGCATAATTCTCTTTCACGGGTTATTTCCTAGGAAACGTTCTGTTTACCTTTATTTTCACAATGGTAAGCAACAGCTTACCATCGAATGATTTGACAGATTTTTTTTTCGGCATGGGTTTACCGGCTTCAAACTGGTTTTCCGTAAAGCTTTTTAGCATATTGCGCTAAATATGCTCCACTTAACGCCCATTTTTGATTTCTACCGTTTCGAGAATGGCTTATGGAAATCCAGCCCAAAATTCTTGCCTCAAGTTGTCAAGGCAAGCGTTTCGAAATTCTAAGCCAATTGCTTAGACCCAGCGAAGGTCAAGCACTTTCTAAGGCAAAGTCCGTTTGGTGTTGGAATCGGAGGTGTTAGTTAGTGGGCTCCTGTATATTAACATAAATTACGATTCAATCGAGCAGCTGGCCATTAAAGCAGGCAACAATTTTATTAGACCAGCTGCGATGATGTTTTAGATACTTAATAGCACCGTACTAAGATACTTTCAATGCTTAAACGAGGGTGAAAAGTGGCGACTAATTAGCGTCAAGTGTCATGAGTCGCCGGTGGGGTGAGCTCATTTGTTTGCTTTACTTTGCTTTGCTTTGCATTTTATGTAATGCAATATTTAATCAACTGCCATTGCATTCTAAATTTAAATTTCTCGCTTTGCTTTGCGGCGCGTGCACGAAAATTCCATTGAACTTGAATGCTGGGCAGGTTGGTTTGGGTTTCCACCTGTGCAGGAAGTCGCGTTCGCCGCTTAAGTCTTTTGATTATGTCGGAAACGCTCGATTATGAGTAAATGTGCGACGTTGGCATTATCTTGTAAACGGCAATGTAAATTTCAGCGTCTACGTGATCGCCGACCCAACCACCACCAGCCACCGTGTACATAATCCTCTTCTAATGCTCCATTAATCATCGAAGTGTGGCCCAACAATGTTGTGATCGGCGATTATCTAATATCACAGATGACAGGGCGCGATCTGTATTACATTAGCAACTAACTATTAACTATTAACGAGCATAGGCAGATACTCTGGCCGTTTGTATAACAACCGCTCGATCAAAGGCCAAGTTCAAACCGCACCCTCTATAAAGCATTGTCTTAATGGCAAACCACAAACATATATTGACAACTAAGGCCGGCAGCTCCGAAAAAAGAGAAAAAAAACCAGAGGCACAGGTTCAATGAACGGGGTCCAAGGGAACGCTATTTTTAAGTTCGATTTAATTTGATTTGTTCGCATTAATTGCGCGGATATCTTTCTCCCAGTTTATTCACAAACGGAAGTCCATGCAGCCCACTGACTAACCGACTAAGGAGATTCTTGCAAATTAAACGACAATACAAGGTATGGGGATCGGAGCAAGGCTTGCAATTTAAATTTAGAAAGTAAAAGGCGCATATTATGTGTGATAAACAAATGCGGTATACTGAATACAGAATACTGGCTGGCTGACTAAGCGACTCGCCAAACTGATTGCATGTTATTTGCACATTTTCCTTGATTTACACCGCCGCTAACTACACACGAAATCAATAAAAGTCAATTTTAAGGCCCATTACAAATGTAATGTAATAATTACACGAAGCCAAGAACCATTTCTGATGGTGATTATATAATGCCCTAATCAGGCGATCGTGAAATACAATGTAATTGGAACTTGAGTGATAGAATCATCCAGGATCAGAAAGCAAGCCGCACATTATAGCGTATTATTAACTATAGTCAGAATCATAAAAAGTATTATTCAATTGAGAAATGTAAAAGTACTTGATTGTTTTTAAACTGCAGAATTTCATCAGTTAATAAGTCAGAAAATAAAATGTGTTGAATTTTAATTTGGAAAAAATTGTTAGTTAAAATGTAAAATCGTTTCTGTATTATTAAAGGTGTAATAATTCTGAGCAGCTAATATACCCAATTAGGTAGCAAGTTCTCTTCGATCGGGGGCAAAAAAGTTGTGGCGAGAACTGAAAAAATAAATACCTTGCTTATAGAATGGATTACACTGCCTTAACGCCATAGCAACAATTACGAGAACGACTGCATAAATTGAATGACCTTTTTGGTCACCAACGTAACGACGACGCACAATATTGTTTTCAGTTTTTTTTTTTTCGCTCCTCCAACATGATTATTATGTTTTATTTGTTTTAATTCCAGCTGCGAGCTCGTAAATTATGCAATACTGCAACACATAAATCTCTAGCCGGAGGCTATTTTAGAATGCCGGCAGGTGAAAATCGCTCCGTGACTAAACACAATGACGATCCATGTGCGGATAACCACGCCTATTTTGGCCAATTAGAATATCTCGGCATCTGGATATCTGAAATTCTCAGGTTAATCGTCGACAAAGGCAAAGCCAAATGATTGCGTGTCAATAACATCGAAAGAATTTCGCGATCGAAGTTATAACAATCGTTACGCAACTGCCGGCATTTAATTAACAAATTGCAATTTAAATATTCTCGAATTTATTATGCACTCTTGCATTTCATTGAGATTTGAAATGCTTGCACGCCGGTTTGACTTGAATTTTTTTGGCGTTGTGTTTGCTTTAATTTCCATACATTTTCAAACCGTTTCGATCGCTGGTGAACAAACCAATTAGCATGCACAATAATTATTATAAATATAAAAATCAAATCACCAAGTTCCAACCGGATGAAATTCGCTTACCACCGCCAATCGAATTGGCGCAGATCATTAATCACAAGAACTTGGCCGCCCGCCTTAACTATTTGATATATATAGAATCGTGACTCAAAGTCTGTCTTTGATATAGATTTCTACCCACTAAATGGGTGTTGAAAACCAATGTAATGGCTCCACTAATTGCCGGATAAACCCAGGCGAAGAAGAGGGCATTGGATCAGAACAGGGTCTACAGGTTGCGTTAGTCACGCACCGAGTTTTGGGTTAAGATCTGTATACTATATATATTTAATTAGCCGCATGTTCGGGGTAATTGGGTGTTTTTCCTTAACCTGCTTTGCACCACGTCATCGCCGGAGTTTTGACCTCTCACCCCGGGAATTTTGCCCTCTCGAGAAGTCAAGATTCCTGGGATAACTCGCCACAAGTCACTCCACTTTCGCAGACAATGTTGTAACCGCTTTGGCGCTGACAATTAAATCCGATCAATTGCATTCAGTGATTCCATTCGAAAGCCTTCGAGGTAAATGGCACAGTGCATTAGCAACTCGCTTCCCGACTTCGTGCTGTTCTAGAAGACCTGCACAGATGATCGATCGGTGGGGCTATAGGCTATATGGCGTATATAGCTGCATGATCGGCAATCACAGCACAGCTGTCTGCAATTGCAGTCTGGGAATTGGAAACTGGGAACACCGGCTGGTGAAGGGCAGCAGTGCAACAGTGCAGCAGTCGCAATCCGGACTGCAATTGTATGCAAATGAACGCGTGCCGTGTCGAGAGCCTCAAATTGCATAATAATTGCCGGGTGAAATTATCGCCTTGATTCGAAACATGGGTTCTTCGGACCTTTTTCGTACAATATGCAATAGAATTCTTTATTGTAATTTACTCTTGTTGCTGCTGCCGTGGCCTATACATACAGATTTATGTATAATGTGCACTCGCTGCACTTACTGCATATAATATATATGTTTGTGTATATATATAATTTATGTATACATATCATTATTAATATAATATTTAGCTTGTGGTTCTTTAAATATGTTTGTTGCTGCTCTTTTATGCTCTAGGTACCGTCTCTTCGCAATTTCGCATCGCTCCTCCTTCCTTCATTTGTGGTTTATCAACTATTTTATCGTAAAGAAATTTAAAATTTACGTTTGCAAAACGAAAGCTTTAACAACTTAACTGAATACGGGTTCTCTTGTTTATTGTTTTCACTATATAATATATATATATATATTTATTTATGTTATTATGGGCGCTCGGTTAATGCGTTTCTTTCTCGTTTCATCTGCTCTGTTCGCTCTTATTGGCGACTAAGACACTTATTCATTCATATTTCATAAATTTCAATTGTTTTGCTTTTCGTCAAATCTATATCGATCGATTTTTTACATCGTTTAAAGCTACAATTTGAGATGTGTAAAAACGAGAAAAGTTTTCACTTGTCTGGTTTTGTTCTTCTTGTTTATATACAGCAAATGGTTTTTGGGGATGGGAGGGGGAGATGGTCGAGGCGGAATGTTGCACATATGTGAGCTCTGTGGGTTTACATTGGTTTATTTTCTTGATGGGGGGGCTTAACGTTTAAACCGTATCAATTACTTAGCATATTCAACAAAAATTTATACATCTGCTTGGCGTTCTACAAACTAAAAGTGCTTCCCTCACTTCGATTTTGTGTTCAGCTTTAGTTGTGTGTTGCGAATCTCTTTGTTTAGTTGGATTAATAAATATTTCAACAAATCGCCCGCAGCACGAATCGATAATAGTTTATATTAGTCATAGTACATAATCAATAGTAATAAAATTAATAATCGTAGTCAATTTACACGTGTTCTATAGTTACGAGTTAAATTCTGGAAATAACTAAAATCTAATTATCGTCAGGGGGAGCTTTAGAGTAATTCTTTGAATTTTTTTTGCATTATTTCTCTTTCGCTTTCTGCTTAGTTTTTTTGTTAAGCATTTAAAACAAATTAAGTTCAATTAAATTAGATTAGAGGCCTAATTAGCTACACCTATTAAAATTAATTGTCATTAACAGAAGACTTACGACCTAAAGACTACTAAAAGATACAAACTATAGACCAACAAACTTGCTTATTAGGCGTGGCCAAAGTCCAGGGCGCAACTGCAGTCAAAGGAAACATTGCACAAAAGAAAGTGGTCATAGAATACAAAAATATGAAAGTCGAGGGAAAGCCAAAGGGGGTGGGCAGTGGAATTCGAGTCTCGCAAATGAATATTAAATATCAGTACAAAACAAAAACGCAGCCAGTCGTTTACCACATGTTAAATGAATAATCTCTGCACTGTTGGCGCAAATTCAAGTTGATTCCTTTTGAAAACCTTCACCTTTTCCCGTTCTCACAAATCGGAATTGCTTTCACAAGTTGTTAACTGATTAAATGGTTCGCCAAATTAGACAATTCGAAACTTTAAAACTATAAATATTGAAGACATTTTAAAAAATTCTGCAGGGATCTGCTTTAAAAAATATAAACTTCAGTTAAATTCCGCCAAACGAAACGAAAACTCAGGTGCTTGTTAACCTCTTTGGAACCAATTTGCCTGTGGGTTTGAAACCTTTCTAAGCCAGTAGACTCCTTCGCTCTCATCGCTGTGTGGCTGCCGCCGAAGCTGAAGCTGCCGCTGATCCCGATGCTGTTCCAGTTGCCGCCCCCGTCAGGTCGTCCCCTTGGAGATCCACGTTGGCGGCACTGGCGTACTGCTAAAACCATGACTGCCTGTTGATGTCATACGGCTTCGGCATGCCCAGTGTGGCGCGCTGGTAGGCGGATGGCGGTGGCGGCGGTTGTCCATATCCAGCTGCTGCCGCCGCCGCTGCCGGCCCACCCAGCAGGCTCTGGTTGAGGATCATCCGCGTGTGGAAGTCGTCCCGCCGCAGGTACTGCTGGTACAGCTGCGAGTTGGGATCCGCAAACGGATAGGCAGCCGCAGCCGCTGCCCTCGAAGATGGATGAGCCGCCGCCAGAAAGGGATACGATCCGGCTGCCGTGTTCAGTGGGTTTTGGCTCTTATCCGCTGCATTTCCTCCCGGATTCGCTGCCAGTCCACTGTGTGCCGGCGCCGGTGGCATGTAGTATGGATTGGGTGCATCCCGGAACTGATCCAGATAACTGCTGGCCGCCGCTGCTTGATCTCCGTACAATCCAAGGGTTCCTGGCGTTGGCGCAAAGTTGAAAGCGCTGCCCGGCACCATTCCACCAGTTGATGTTTTAAGCGAAATTGCTGCCGCATCGGCCGCCGTTTGATTGGTGGTGCCTCCACTGGTGGCCGGTGTTGCTGCCGCACTGCCCACTGGCGAGGAAACGCCTCCGGATTTGAGGCCCGCGTACAACTGGAAGCCTTGGTGCAGCGCCTGCGCATGCGCCTGCAGCTGATTGTTTGTGGCAGCGGCGGCGGAAACGGAGGCTACTGACTGCGGCATATTGTATTGCGGCATGGCTTGGTGTTGCTGCTGCTGTGCGGCCACCTGTTGTTGTTGTTGCTGCTGTTGGGCAGCCACTTGTTGCTGTTGCTGCTGCTGCTGCTGCTGTTGCTGTTGGGCGGCCACCTGTTGCTGTTGTTGCGCCTGCTGCTGCTGCTGTTGTTGTTGTTGTTGCTGTTTGGCAGCCGCAGCCGCTGCTTCTGCTGCAATCGTGGCTGCCTTCTTCTTCCTTCCTCTTTTCGCTGGAGCCTTTACTTCGGGTGCGGCGACTGGCGGAGCTTGCTGCTGCTGCTGTGGCTGCTGCTGCTGGTGTGCGGGATTGTTGTTGCCGGGAACATAGTTACCCGGCAGCTGCTGGGCCGGATTGCCATAGGCCGTGGCCGCTGAACTCGAAGCGCTGTACATATGCGCCGCCGGCGGCATGGATTTGTCGAAATAGTTGCCGGCATAGCCCAACATAGATTGCATCAAGGGATTGCTATAAGTTTGCGGCGGAGGCGGCGTTGGTTTGTTGTAGGCGGCCAGGTGATGCGTCTGGCTGAGGTGATGCTGATGGGCGGTTGAGGGCAGGTGCATCATGTTGCTGCTGGCATCGCTCACAGAAGATGCAGCCACTGCGGACTGCGTGGCGGTCGGCTTATCTGAAACCGCTGATTGCTGCTGCTGCGCCGTATAGTTGTGGTTAAGTTGTGACTGCTGTTGCTGGTAGTTATGTTGCTGTTGCGGCTGCTGCTGTTGTTGCTGTTGCTGTTGTTGCTGTTGTGGGAGCTTTTGAGCCTGTGTTTGCTGCTGCTGTTGCTGGTAGTTTTGAGTTAGCGCCGTCTGAAGCTGCGTGAGATGCGGCTGCGTTTGCTGCGACTGTTGCTGCGGTTGTTGTTGGTTTGTCTGCTGCTTGTTGGTCGCGACTTGTGGCGATTGCTGTTGCTGCTGCTGCTGCAGCTGGCAACTGTTGTCTTTTGCAAAGTCTTTGGGGAAGCCCATGGCGGCTGCTCGGTTGTACATCTCAAATGCCTTGTCCGGCGCTATGTTGCCAATTGGTTTGCCAAACGCCATGGAACCCAGAAAACTATTAAACATTTGCTGTTGCTTGTTAAGCAGGGATTGCGTTTGATTCTGCGCTTGTTGCTGCTGCTGTTGCTGCAACTGCGGTTGCTGCTGCTGGGCGGCAGTTTCGTCTATTTTTGGCATTTTGTTGGCCGCGTTTCCACTGTAATCCATGCCCATCTCCTCCCCAGGTCGTTTTAGAGGGTTGATAAGCGTGTCCGTTTTGGGTGGCTGCTGCATTTGATGCTGCATAAATGTGGCCATATCACTGCCGTAGGTTGGCGGTACAATCTTTTGCTGCTGCTGTTGCAAATTGTCCACTGCATCTGCTGCTGCCGCCGCATTAGCTGCCGCATTTGTTGACTGATACTGCGCATAAGTCGGATATTTTGGTTTGAGTTGCTGCTGATGTCCCAGCACCTGTTGTTGCTGTTGCTGCTGCTGTTGTGGTGTCTGCATTTGTGGCTGCTGCTGCTGTTGGTTGGTTTGCTGGGCAGCCTGATTAACCGTGTTGGTAATGCTCGGGGGCAACAGGCTGCGATTCAGACTCCAATCGTTGTTTGGTTTGGTTATAGAAGCAGTTGCCGATGTGGAACTCGGAAGGGGATTAATCAAAGTGCCTGTATTGTACAAAGATCGCTGTTGCTGCTGAAGTTGCTGGTAACTGTCATGAGTGGGCGCATATCCATTGTTGTTCAGAGCTGTAATCAAGAAATTAATTAAAAATTTAGTTCAATGGTTAGGAAGGTAAGCACTCACCTGTTGAAGCCACAGAAGCTGTTGGCGGTTGAACAGGAGGAACCACTGGCGGCTGGACTTGTTGCTGCGGCTGCTGATAAGGTGACAAAACGGGTTGCTGGTACGGCGAGTGCTGCTGCTCCGCCGGCGATTGAGCCAGTGGTGTAGGTGGTTGCGTAGCTGCCGACGATGCCGGGGACTCCACACTGCTGTGCATCGGACTGAGCGCCTGCTGATGGGCCGCCGGACTGTGGGAAGGCTGGGAGGATTGCTGTTGCTGCTGCGCCGCGGGCGGATGATATGGTGAGTGCTGCTGCTGGTGGTACGGCGACTGGCCATGATATGGCGACGGGTGCGTCGATTGAGACTGCTGCGGCGTGGTGTACGGAGAACTTTGCGGCTGCTGGTAAGGCGAATGGGGGTTCGGGGTACTCGGACTCATTGAAGAATTGTAATCCGATTCCTGGGAGCGCGGCTGCTTATATTGATCGTAAATGGGAAGCGGGGATGTGGAAGAGTAGGCCGGAGTCTTGGACGCCTCAGAGCCCGAGGGATTGTAGCTGTTTCCGCCTCCGTAGGGAGAGGTGCCACTCATATCCGGAGTGGATACATTGGGCGACGAGGCGGATGAGTAGATATGCTGGGAGTATTGGGGATACGGAGAGTTCATCTCCCTGGGACTGCAACTCTTGTCCGGACTGCTCTTGGTCGTGGTGTCCTGATAGAAGCCGACTTTGATGGCTCCATTCAGGGGATAAGGCGAGGCTGGTTTACCCATATCATCGTTGGGCTTCGGGGAAACCATAATGGGAGACGCTCCAATCGGAGAGGCACCAATTGGCGAGGTATAAGAACCAGCTGCGTACGATCCATACCGCTCATCGATGGCTATTCTGGGCGAATCCGGATCCTGGCTGAAGGAACTCCTCTCCGAGTTTGTGCTACCTGTACTGGGTTTCCGTTGACGCATCACCGTTGGCAGGGAGAAGTTATCCCCAGCTGGCGAATGAGCTGGTGGAGCCACCTTTGAGTCGGCTTGAAGATCCTGGGAAGGCGTCTGCTGCTTTTCTTCCTCCTCGGATTTCTTGCTAACCTTTGGACCACCGAAAGCCTTCAGCCAGGCGCTAAGATTGGGCTTCTCTTTTTGACTCGCTTCGGGCTTTGTCGCTTCGGAGGATTTGCCTATTTTGCTTAGTTCCAAAAGAGCTTCAAATGGTTTGGGTGGCTCTTTATTTGGTGTTGTGGGTGTCGAAGGTGTCTCCGATTTGCTGTTTGTATTCGAAGAGTCATCTTCATCCGCCGCCTTTTTCCCTGACATTTCCTCAAGGGTTTTCCCTAGGGAAAAGTCCTGGGTTTTAAGAACCGTACCCAAACTAAGCTTTGGCGCTCCCTCGCAGGTTTCCGTGATGAGAGCATTCTTCAGCTCCTTAACCTTGGTGGCTACTGGATTTACTCCTGCATGGGAATCTCCGCTATCCTCTGTTGACTTCCCAGCTGCCACGTTCTGTAGCAGATTGCCCTTGGCCTTGCCTGGCTGAAGCCTTTCGATGGTCCTCATAACATTCGCCTTGGCTTTCACCTGCTGAGCTTGGGCCGCTTGAGCCGCCTGCTTTTCCTTCAGCGACTTCCGCTTGGCCTCCTTCGCCAGTTGCTGTTTGATGTGCGGCGGTGGTGGAGGATTAAGCAGCAGTTGAGTGGTACTCGGCTCCTTTGGCTTGGGAATGGGAAGCAGTGTTGGAGTAACAGGCGGAGGCGTTGGCGTGACTGCCACGGGTAAGGGCGTGGGCATAGAATTATTCGAGCAGTTCGAACTGGACGCTGCAGTGGCGGATGTGCTGCCGATGGAATTTCCAGAGTGCATTGAATGCGGCGGAGTTCCACAGCTGCTGCTCACACTGCTCGGCGTGGGTGCCACCGATTCGGATTCCGACTTGCTCGCCGCTTCCTTCGGATCGCTCACAAGATCGTTGAGTGCCTCGGCCAGTTTAGTTGGCACCAACTCCGCTTTTGGAGCAGCCAAAGCCACGGGTCGTCGAAAATCTGCTGCATCCAATTTACTACCAATTCCCGAGTCGAAATCATCCAACAGATTATATCGCGATGGTGAATTACTAGCAGAACTGAATTCTGTAAAGCGTGGCGTGTGCTCCAGCCAGCGATTTATGTCCTTCAGCGTCTGCTCCGTTTCCACATCCAAGGCTTCAAGATTAGTATTGTTATTGGTCTGCGGTTGACCTGCCTTTTGAGCTGCCTTCTTACTGGAAGCCTTTTTGCCAGAACCCTTTTCATTTGGTTTGTCGGCAGGTTTTGGCGGCGGCGGCATTTGTTTGTCGGGTCTTTTCTTGGCTGCCGCCTTCGCTGGTGCTTCTTTTGATTTAGTAGGTGCGGATGTGGGTGCGGGAGTGGGAGCAGCTGGTTCTTTTATCGCTTCCGAAGGCGCCACCGGAGCAGGTGATTTTTCTCTTGGAGGTTTCTCAACTACTCTGGGTGGCTCCTCTTTTTCTTCGACTTCTCGGTGTGCTTCTCGGAGTCCGCTTTGGAGGCTTTTTCAGTTTTCTCTGGTTTATCGGACTCCTTCGACCGCTTTTGATCTTTGCTCTTACGCCCGCGTTTGTGCTCCACAGGTTCAGGAGACTTTTCCCGCTTAGCTGGCGCTTTTTTGTTCTCCCTGCTGCTTTTGTTGCTGGGTGGTTTGGAGTCCTCGGAAGGAGCTATCGAGTTGGAGGCACTGGAGCCGCTAAGGGCGGCACGACTACGTCGGTACTTAATCACATCGTACTTGTCCATGAAGGGCAGCAGCATCTCCAGTTCGGCCTGCTCGGCTGCAACTGCAGCAGCGGCCGCCGATACCGGAGTTTCTTCTTTGCTCTTCTTGTGCTTGGCGCTACGGGATTTGTCTTTGTCCTTATCCTTATCCTTATCCTTGTCTTTCTCCCTGCTCTTCTTCTCCTTGTCCTTCTTTGAGTTGTCCCCCTTTTTGCCTTTCTTTGCCACCGGCGGACGCTCTTCGGAGCTGGCCCGACTGCTGCTCAGGGATTTAAAGTCCCCGTCAGACTCTCGGAAGGATCGCCTCGCATCTTCATTCGCTTCGTCCTGGTGCCGGGCACTCAGCTTCGTGGTTTCCGCGGTGGGAACTTTCTTCACCGTGGTTAGCAGCTCGGAGAGATCATCGTTAAGGGCACTTTTTGAGTATTTTTTGTGAAGATCAACCTTGAAGGGCGACATGCTGCGCGACCGCGAGCCGTCCTCATCGTCGTCTTCATCCGCAGGCTGATCATCGTCATCTTCCTCCAGCTCGGCGGCGGATTCAGCCAAAGCAGCAGCTGCCGTTGGTGGCAGCTGTTTCTTCACATCCATATCCGATTGTTCGCTGTCCAGAGAGTCGTTCTTCGCCTTGCGCCCACCTTTGCCCTTGCCTTTTACTTGGCGTTTGACTGGTGTGGGCATCTTTACTTTGGATTCTGCGGGAACGGACTTCTTCTTCTGAGCGGCTATCGTTCGAGCTGTGGGTTTTACCAGGGATTTGGTTTTAGCCAGCGATATTTGGTCGTCATCGCTATAGTCCTCGCTCTCACGGCTGTCGCTTGCATCCGATTCAATCTCTGATTCGGGCGCCGATTTCTTGGCCCCTTTTTTGGTCTTTTGCTGCTGTTTACTCGGCTTGGATGTGGACTTCTCGCCCTTAGTCTTGCGTCCCCGCTTCGAGGAACTGGTGTCCTTATCCTTTTCTTTCTCCTTATCTTTCTCTTTGGCCACCTTGCCCGTCTTGCTTTTCTTAGTTGCTTGCGAAGGAGGTGTTGGCGGCGGAGTTTGTTCCCTTTTGGGCTCCAAATCCTCATCATCCGTTTCCACATCCGCCTTGCTTTTGGTTTTCTTTTTTCGTCTTTTGTCTTTTTCCTTACGCTTGCGCTTTTGGGCTTTTTGCGTTGCCTCCGGCTCGATCTCGCTGAGATCGTCTTCGGCACTGCTTTCCTGCCGTCCTGGCGCATCCTTCTCCGTTTCCTCCTTGGCCTTCTTGCTGAAGTACTTCTCGCGAAACACGTTCATTTTGGAGTCGGCGGCGGGGTAGCTCAGATTGGGATCATCGTCCTCGTCGTCGGAGAGGTTTTCAAAGTACTTTTTGGTGGCCTTCTCGAAAGCATCCTGCAGATTGTTAACCATCTCCGTATATTCTATGTAAATAAACATGTTAAATTAATAGTTAAATCACCTTTTTTTATTTAATATCAACGTTACCATTATTGTGCCCATTGTACAATCTGCAGTTGTTGACAATCAAGCGAAAGTCGTTGCGAAATTCGCTGAATTTGTGATATTCCCCGCTGTCCAGCTTATCCTCCATTTTCAGCAGGTCCATGGGTCTGAAAAGGAGGAATCATTCGTGGATAAGTAAGCTATTTCTTTTTACAAAAGATGCTTTTAAATATTTTTACTCACCTCCTGATGATCGAGTAATATCGCGGTGCAATATCCTCTTCCACAGGATCCACAAATGGCCAGGCATCGCGATGGTTCTTCACGTAGACGAGCACCTTGTGCATTCCGATCTGCAGGACCTCCTCCGTTTCGGTAAAGCTAAGAATATTCGCATGATTGGAGGAGTTGTACGTTGAATTGTTGTTTGTGGTTACTGGGTGGTGTTGTAATGTGCTTGCTGCATTTGTTGTGTGATTATTGTTGTTGTGGGTTAGGGAGTGGTGCGATTTGGATTTGTGTTTGTTACTGTTATTATTACTGGAGTGGTGGTGGTGATGGTGGTGGTGGGTGTGGTGTGAGTGGGAGGTTTGGTGGCTGTGATTGTTTTGACTATGATTATGATTCGAATTATTATGGTATCCCTGCGACGTTGTCGTTGTTGCTGTTGTTGTTGCCGATGCCGTCGTTGAGTGGTTGTTGTTGTTGTTGTTGTGACTGTGGTGCGACGCGTGCTTATGGTTGTTGTTGTTAAGGCTGCTGTTGTTGTTGGTGGTGCTACGGTTGCTACTATTTACATGGCTACATTTGGGTTTTTAATTTTTTGATGAACAACAGTCGGAATGTTTTTTTCGTTCGTTTTTTTGGCGGGTGGGTACAAAAGTTTACAATAACAATGATAAATATGTTAATCAATTGATCATATTATATACAATTTGATGGGTGAATCAATGAGAGGAGCCGTCCACATGCAATGGCTTATAGGAATTCAACGAAACTCAAAGAGTTGAAAACAAATCATTGAGATTAAGGAAAGAGAACCGAGACCACAGCAAAAGGCAAATCAATAACAATACCAGATGTTGGACATCAAGAAAGCTTACGCATAAAAGATACATGTCTACCTTGATTAATCCTTTTTTAATTACTGTATTGGAATACTATCCTAACTTTTCAAAAGGTCAAGTAATTTTGAGTTAAGGAGTCAATAGTGTTAATGTTCAAAAATTATTTAGACATTTTACTGTTATTAATTGTTAATATTGAGTTAATCAAGATGTACACATATGCGAGTATCTGACATGATGCCCACACCTACAACAGCAAGCAAAAGCATAAAGAATGATCAAAGAATATGCCGAGAGTAAACGGATAGTACGATTGTGTTGTGTCTGGGGATCGAAACTCTCCACCCTCACTTACTCATCGCCACTTTTGTCCGAGTAGGCACCGCTGTTTCGCTCCGCCTTGCTGGACGATGAGGACGCCGATGAGCCAGCCGCCGACTTCTTTGACTTGCCCGCCTCCGCCTTGCTCAAGTTCCGGTCCGCCTTGTCCGCCACTTTGCTGCTGCTGCTGCTCCCGCTATTGTTGAGCACGGCCTTTTGTTTCTTGGAACGCACCGTGCTGGCCGTCGTGGTGGAGACACTGCTGCTGCTACTGCTGCTCTGCGGTTCCTGCGACTGCTGCTGTTGCGTTTGTTGCTGCTGCTGAGCACTTCCGCCCGGTATGAATATGTTACCAGTGAGCGAGCTCAGCGAGTTATTTGTCTGCCTGCCGGGCAACTTAACATTCGCCGCAGGCGCCATCGAAGGAGCTATTGTTCGTGGCTCTGGTACTGCTGTGGCCCGCTGATCCACCCGATCGCCCTGCTCTGTTTCGCTCTCATGTGCCACCGGCGATGGCAGACTGAGATCGGCAATGCTCGTGGCCACCGCAATGGCCGCCGAATTGGTGTCCAGAAGCTGCAGCTGCCTGCAAAAGTTCTCCTTGTCCTCGGGACTTAGAGAAGTTGTGGGTTTCGGTGCCTCTGGCTGCTGAGGTTGCTGGTGGCCACTGCGTCGTCGCTTCGGCTGGACACTGTTGTTGCTGCTGGTGCTATTGGTGTTGCTGTTGCTATTGCTGTTACTGTTGTGGTTATTGTTGTCGTCCTCGCCTTCGTCCGCCTCTGAAGCATGCTTGTGTCGACGCCGATGATGATGGTGGTGTTCGCGGTCCCGCTCACGATCTCTGTCTCGATGGTGGCGCTTTTTCTGCTTCTTGCCCGACTTTTTCTTCTTGTGGTGGTGATGATGATGGTGGTGATGACTACTCTTGCTCTTTAATTCTGCCGCCGTTTGCGATTTCGGCGTTTCGGGATTTCGCTCGCCCGAAAGATCTTCGTCAGATGCTGAGCCAGCTAATAATTCCTCCGGTTCCTGCTGCTCCTCCTCGTGCGGATGCTGTGCTGGCTGACTTTGCTGCTGTTGCTCCGCGTCGAGGGCCTCGTCGTTGTCGTCGTCGTCTTCTTCGTTTTCTGGCGAGAGGCAGAAGGTTTCCCTGTGGCACAGAAATTCGCTCGAATTAGTTGTGGTTGTTCGTCTTAGGGAGCTTGCGTAGGTTGAAATACCACTATTTGTCGATGTTGATTGGGACCTAAATGATAATAAAGTGAAAAGAAACAAACAATTTTAATAAAAACCAAGAAGTAAGCTTAGGGTATTAATTATAAATCGATTTTGATTTAACGTATGCTATGCCGCTCGTAAAGTGAATGATAATATTTTCATTTATATTAATACAGAGCCAAGATGAGAATAATTGTAAATCAAAAAAAAAAATAATAAGGTTTCATTAGATCAACATTTCTGCGACTTAAAAAATTCTCATGATTTATTGATATTTGATATATGATATGATTCTGTAGTTGTCTGTGGCTCGTGAATGGAATGAAAATGAACGAAGTTAAATAAACTTAAACCATAAGACAAGACATATATCGAATAGAAATTGATCAAAAAGCATGCTTACAGAGTTTTTTTGAAAACGAAATCCAACCAATTCTCCCATATACAAAACTAAATGATGGGCAAAACTCAAATTAAGTGCTGGTGTCCTCGTTCCGATTATCCTGGTCCCGGGCTTCACGCAGATGCTGATGATGGTGATTTGATTTTAATTTGGTTTCTCTTACTGCAGCAACACAAATTGTAAGCGAAAAGTGTTTGGCTCAAGAAATCATAAAATTATGGCAACTCAAAAGATCAATTGAAAACGTAAATCAAAGATGCTTTTGGTATGCAAGTGAAGTGTGAATGTATCTGTTCTCGGTTTCTGCTGTATGGGTGGGATGTGGCCGTCGCTTCCGCCAGCCTTCTTAGGAACATTGGCGAGCTAACCGTCTGCGTGTGCGCTGCTGCGATTGCTGCTGCTGTTGTTGCTGCTGCTGCTGTAGTTGTTGTTGTTGCTGCTGCTGCTGTTGTTGCTGATGCGGCGGTGCCAACCAGTGCGCGTTTTGCCGCTCTTGGTAAAGATTCTCCCGTTCGCGCCGCTGGCGTTCCTCTTCCTGGCGCGCCTTTAGCTCGGCGATGTTACGAATGCGACTGGAGTTGCGCACTTGCAACAGTCTGGGATAACGAATTAAGAATTTAATTAGTAACATGTTTATACATTTTAAATTCCAAATGATCGAAAGCTCTTTCACTCACTTTCTGCGCCTCAAACGCTCACGCTCGCGGAAAAGCTGCGGCAACTTGGGCAGAAAGTTGTCATCGAGTATGTGAAAAAGTTCACGCTCTTTGGCGTTCGTCGAGGACTTAAACTTGGCGGCCAAATTCTGCCAGTCCTCCTCGGTGAAGCAGATAACCTGCCAGACGGTGCCGTTGCTGCCGATGCCCTTGCTGCCTGATGCTCCGCCAGATAAGGCTGAGGATCCGCCGACACCACCGGATGCCGAGCTGGACGCTGCCGCCGCTTTGTCCTCGCGATAGAGACGAGTGCCGTAGAAGTACCAGTAGCCGGAGTTCTTGGCGTCGTACCCCAAAGGCTCCACGCGCAGACTGTCCGCCTCTAGATTGCTGAGAATGACCTGCACATCGGCCGAGTCCAGGCGGAAGTGGCACAGATCGTGCAGGATGTGCAGACGCTTGCGCACGGGCAGCGACTGGAAGTCAATGTCCGTGTCAAAGTGGTTCTCGGTCTGGTGCAGGCGACACTGTTGGCGCAGGAAGCGACGCAAGAACATCTGATAGTTGCTGTGTGTGATTTCCTTGGCTACCGACTGTAGCGCATCGCAGCCCTTGAGCAGGCGCACAATTAACTCGGGCACTAAGGCGACCTGATCCTCATCGCTGGTACCATCGGAGAGCAGCGCCGATTCGAGGTCCTGTAGATCGGATGTGATTTATAAATTGAGTTGTGAATAAATATATCTGGCAAACTCTTACCTCGATGTCGATGTCGGGCAGATCAAATGCGGAACTAAACAATGAACAGAAATGCGAAATACACGGTATCTCCCACCATGATTGAATGTCTGCGGAAGAGAGAATAGTTTTTCTTTATTCCTATAAAATCATAAATTAACGTTGCATTGTTATTGAGCAAATTAATCAAAAATATTTTATTTTCCAAAAGAAAAGAACTCACCTAATAGACCAATAAAAGTAGAAACCATTTATGTATGCTTGCTTATTGGAAACGTTGCTCCTCTGCGGGATTTTTGAGATGTGACTAAAACAATTCCTGGGCCTCTTTGGTAGCTCACTGCATGGAAGTCGGGCTGTATACAACATAAAATACAACGATGTTGTCAGGCGTTAACGAATTAGGCTCAAGTTTCACGACCGAATGTCGAAAGGCGGCAAAAAGTGCGAGAGTAAAATGTGAGCAACATGTGTGTGTGAGTGTTGAGATATTTGGCGGCGATATGTACACAAACATCTGGCTTTATCACTTATCAAACATTGCGATGCACGCGAGGGGAAGGGGCCAGGCAAGAGGGTGGGTGTCCAGTGGGCGGTAGGTCAAAAGAAAGTACACGAGCACCCCTTTCGCGCGCTTATTTTCACGAAGAGAAAAGCAAAACAGACAACCGACAAACGGCAAATGCGTGCGAAAGAGCGAGATAGCACTATGGCACTGTCCAATAGCCGAACCACTCACTTTTTCAGGTTTGCGTGCCATCTAGCTCGCACACATTACTACTATTTTGACTACACTGCACTCGATTATTTTGCAATTATAATTTGCAATTTGCACGGCTCTTGAGTAGTTGGTTTTTGTTGGCCACCGATTGCACGCGAATGTAATAGATTATATCTGGTTTTAAGGGATATAGCATGAATGTGAACACCTAAGTCCCGATTTCGGAGCATGCGCGCGGCGGCTGACAACCGACGGCTTTTCTCCGCCTCTGTTTTTTGCCTGCTGGCCAGTGTGTATTTATTTTTATTAATACATGTATATATATTTTTCAGTTACGTGCGAAAATGTCATTTAACTTTAGAGACGCCCATTTTCCAGCGTTTCTTCCTTTCTTTCTGCTTTCCCCCCTCAATTTCTTTTTTCACACACACGCACACAACACAGATGCGAAGGCACGCACACACTCTTGTTCACTAGAGGGGCTCCATCTGCCTTATAATATTATTAATTATTTCACAACAACAGAACAACGTATTGTTGGTTTGTTTAAATCTAAATAATATAAACACTTTGCTAACCCTTTTCGATCCCGTTGGTCTGGCTAACGCGCAGATAATTTGCGAGGTGCGTTTTTGCGCTCCTGGTTAATTTTATTTTCCCTCAGCGAGCAGCAAACGCGGCGAAGAGCTGTAAAATTTTCGATTACTAGTGGTGGCCTGAAATTCGTCAACACGCCAGCCATCGATTGTCCTCACTGGAGAGAGGTCACTTGTAAAAGGCGGTGGTTGGATCGATAGTTAAATAAGATTTAAAATTATTGTTAAAAACTTAATGACATTTGAACAATTTTTAAAAATTATTCTTTTTAATTATTTACATGACATTGTAAGCCCAATTTACTTAAATAACAACCCATACATTTTATAATATATATTTGATTTGATTTCAATTTATGTTCAATTGAAACACATAATTTCTTTATTTATAGAGTTTCAACGTAATTTCTTTGTTTTATTAATTTGTTCTTTCTTATTTGTTATTACGAGCTCGCTGTCGATATTTCGATAGGTTTTTCCATTTGCTTTCCGCTTGCAATTCGCCTCCCACCCTCCACACCACCCCTTACTTTTCTTTCTTTTTTCTCCTCTTCCTTCCCTCAACCCGCGCGAGCAGCTGTGAGTCTAACCTAACTTTTTGGCCCATTAACTACATGGGGGCGTGTTTGTGTGTGTTGTTGTCTCGCATGCACCAGTGTGTGTGTGTGTTCAAGTTGCCATGTAGGTCGCCATGTATGTTCTAAAGTAACTACATGGCATAAATCGCGGGTTGAGGGGCTATCAATTAAAGATTAACCACAATATTGCAAAACTATTAAATGCTGCTAACAACGTTATGGTTGTTTAGACATTTGCAAGTTTCTTCCGATCTCGTTATGGTAATTTTAACCGAATTTCAATTACATCCATCGCTTTGGCTCGGGGAGTCTCACCATGTAGTTCCCAACTACATGGCGATTCTAGCCTACATGGCGAGACATGCGAAACTGGTTTGGGCAAGGGCGGACTCTCGAAATCGGCTGTAATATGGAATGGTACCGGAAAAGCTTCCCCAAGAACACACAAGCAACCCATTCTTAAACACAAACAAATTAGATATTGTATGAAATTATAATTGCATTTTCGGCAATATTTAAATTAACTAAATCCTATTTAAATACCATATATGAAGTTTATGTAATATTAAAATATTTGATATAATGTAACTAAGATACATTTTTAGCAGATTTTTGCGGTCACTAAAATTTATAAGATTATCTACTAAAATAATACTTAACAGGTCTTAAAATTAAAAAAAAAAATTTAAATATGTACATATGTCATAACGATATTAATGTTATTTGATATTAATGCAAATGAAATACCATTTGTGGAAACAAAGCATTAGGGCTAACAAGCAAATAAAAAGATGATCGACTTTCTCCATTCCCCACTTGCATATTAGCATTGAAAACCAGCAACTTTTCATTGTATTAAATACATATATGTATGTAGTCTTTATTTTAGGATTTATTTCTTTTAAGGGCAAAACTTTAGATACATAATATTAATAACCGATGAATGTTTAATGTGTATTTACAGGTGGTGCCGCAGCTGTGGCAGCTGGAGCAGCGCAGGCAGGTGGGGAATTTGCGCATCCAGATCATGGGCTCGCAGGGCGAGAATCTGTTGGTGCTACGGGTCTATCTTTCGAATCTTCAGAGCCCCGCTGGGTCCACGTGGTGCCATGTGGGGGACTCCTGGCGAAACTCCTGTGGATGCGGTCGCCGTGCTCACCAATTGGGGCACCAAAGCGCCTCCATTACTGCTGGCCTCTCCGTTTCCATTGCTGGGACTCGATATGGACCCGTTGTGCAGGCGCCGCTTTAGCACGAATCGCTTGCCAGTCGTGGTCGTCGTTGTGGTGGTAACGGTGCCCACTGACGGTGTTTTCGCTCCCTGCGTTGAATCCTCCGTAACGGGATCCACTTCCATGTCAGTGCCGGCATTATTTTCATCGTGCTGAAAGTAAAAGAAAGAGTTGGTTAGCTTTAAAAGGCCGAGAAAAGGTTTTCCTCAACTTACCAATTCACTACCGGGGTCCTCATCGTCGTGACCCTCCTCCTCCTCAAACTCGGCGCTTTCCGTGTCTTCGGGATACTCCACCAACTGCCCGTTCAGGGTGGGGAACTCAATAACCGGCAATATCAGCCTTTGCTGCTGGTTGCCTTCGTCCATCAGCTGCTGGATAAGATTGGCTATATCCTCGCGCTTCTTGGTCACAGTGAGGAAATCGAACCAATTGGTCAGTTGCTTGATGGGAAGCCTGTAGTCTCTGATCGGCTCGCCAAAGAACTGCTCCACATACTGCAGTAGATATAAGCCGCAATCGGTGAAGTTGTTCTGCTGCGGCACCTTGACGCAGTGGCCCGGCATGTTGTCCTTGTTGAAGACGTGCGCCTGCGCATCCGGCTTCTTCACCCGGTACTCGCATGTGAGATAATCCCGCAGCGTGGCCACCACCCGACTTCGCGAAGCTCCCGCCAGTGAATCGAAGATGAGGATCAGCGGTTGCTTGACGGCCGGAACTTCATCGGAAGCAATGTTTCTCGCTGGACCGCTGGGAGTGGACTGTGAACTAGGTTGGCTGGGAGTGCTTGTAGTTGTTGAGGTGGGCAGGGCCGCTGGCTCCTTGGCCGAGTTGGAGTTTTCACTGTCCTCCGAGGCCATGTCACTGTCATCGCCCTCAGCCTCGTCCCTCTCGCTCTCATCGTCTGCTATCCGACAAACGTTGTCCGCCGTCAGAGCCGCCGGAAGTTGTCCACCCTCGCCACGTTTCAGCGGAGTGATGGTGGTGTTGCCAATCTGCAGGGACACCTTCTTGCCCCGTGCACGCTTCAAGTGCTGCGGTTCCACGGGTTGGTTGGTATCGAAAGTCACAGGGCCTTTCAGATTAGGGAAGCATATGATGGCTAGGAACCAATGCGACTGCTCATTAATGGGCACTATAATAAAATCCTTGTCGAATATATCGACCACCTTGGTCCACTTCTGCACCCTGGCGTGCCGCTTCTGTGCTGCCGTTTGCTTCATGTCCGCTGGGCGCGTCAATGTTGTTAATCTCTTGTAAAAGAATGTGCTGAAGATGTGCGTTCTCTCTCGCTGGGGTTCTGGAATCAATGTATTTCTCAGCCAGAGCAGGTAAAAGTCAATGATAATATCGTTGAGGTAGGACTCCTTGGTGAGGCACACGTAGTCCTCCATTCGGATGCAAAGACTTCCTGTTCCCTTGGGCGGATACATCAACAGGCTGACCTGCTCGTCCGCTCTCAGCTGGCGCGGCGGTGGCTGTGAGCTCTTGTCCTGCGTCTTGCGATCGGAGTCGGCGAGCCTCTCTAGAATCTCGGCGGCGTCAGTGGCGGAAATCTCATCCACACAGTTGAACATTGACTTGATAAGTTCGCGGACGGTTAAGGTTACGCTGTCGAAGAGCAGAATAAGCCGACGGGTGTGATAGCTGTGCGTCTTAAAGCCGGCTTCTGAAATAACAAAGGTCAGCATTAATTAATTGTTTAATTATTCCATTCAAAAAATAAACCTCTACGTATATTTAACGGAAATGACTGGTATTATTGACTGGTAACTGCAACTACAGACTCAGAATGACAAACCACTTACGTTCATTAGGCTGATCGTCGGGCAGCTGGAGCTGGCTCTTGACATATTGCGCGCAGGTCTTTAAGAGATACAAAGTGACCAGTGGCTGAGCGGGTTCAACATTTCCGAAGTGGGCGATCACCTTGATGACCTCCTTCTTGTGGATGTGCAGCACGAACTTCTCGTCCTTGTCCTTCAGGATGCCGGCAATCCGAACGCCCTTCGATGTGAAGCACACCTATGCGATTAAAACATCCAAACATATATACACAATTCAAGGGCGGAGAACTTTATGGGGGTGACGCCTTACCGGCTCAGTAATCTCGAATCTGTAGGGAACCAAGCGAACGCAGCTGCAGTTCAAGGAGGTGGAGAACTTCTCCGCGTCCGTAACATCCGAAAGATTCGTAACGTCGCCACGGGTAAAATCTTAAAAGACACAAAATTCGTGGTCGTTATTTAATTATACACTTTTCCTCGTGGCCTGCGAGTCACATTTTTCATTCACTCGCTCTTTTCGGTATTTCCACAATCCTACCTTCATCGTTCATTGTGGTAGTGTAGCACAATATGTCTGTGTTGTTTAAATTAATGATAATATCTAGTTAAAACTGTCAAGTCTGGTGAAAATTGCAAGAGAATGTGGAAAACCGATGTGTTTTCTCGCATTCGCTTTGCTTTTCTGCTTCTTCTTTGGCTGGCCATAAAAATGGCGTGCTCTTGCACGCAGCGGCTCCCTCTAGCGGATAAACGTGGCAGAATGGCATTGCCAACGCGAAATAACCTCACACACAACATTGCTATACATGAGAGTTGCCGTTAGCTAGGAAACGCGAAAACAAACAGCTAGCGGGAAAGAGCTAAATTGTTAATTAATAACAATAAACCATATTTAATCACATAGGTAATGCTATTGTCGGATTTAAAACAGATGTTTAAAAACCAAATTAAAGAAGCTTTTAAATTTTAAGATTTAGTTTCTTCCTTAATTTGTTTATTAAATGACTTGGTAATTGCTTTTATAAACTCCCAAAGTCTAAAAATTAAATAGAAACCTACATATTTTGTTGTATTAAAATAGAATAACGACTGCCTATTAATAAATTTCCCGAAATTTTAAATAAGAACGCATATAGAACATTATATGTACATATACATATGAGATAATCGAAACAAAGATCAGAGATTTGGGAACGGGATATAAATAGGTGTTTTAATTGGGTCTTACCTTTGTACAGCGGCTCCTCATCGATCTCTGGCAGATTTGGTTCGCAGGCAAAAGCGGCTGACAATTCATGCAGATTGCCGTTGGAATTGAGTTTGGAATTGTTTGTGGGTTGCTGAAAGCAGGCATTAAAGATTTAAGTCAATAAAATATCCAGAAACAAAAAGTACAAGTGAATAACTTACATTTCCCGTGTCTGAGTTTCCCTCGCCTTCGTCAGCTTCGTCCTCGCTGCTCAACAGGACCACGGGATCAACTTCGGGCACTCTTCTGCCTCCTCTTGCCCTTCCGCCCCTCATGGCCATGGGTCCCCGGCCCCGTGCTCCGACTCCCACTCCCGTCGACCCATAGGTCACTCCGGCCATCTGTTTGCTGAATCGGGCTGCTGCCAACTCTCGTTTCTTTTCCGCCGCGGTTACAGCTGCGCTCACAGGCTCGCTGGATGTCGAAGAAGCTGGCGAGGATGCAGCGCTGGACTTGGGTATGTAGGACTTGCGTTTCGGCGGCTCCGGGAAGACTCGTTTGCACCGCTCACAGCGGGCATGATCCATTCCAGTGAAGCCACACAGCTGGCAGACGGCCAGGAAGCCATCAATAAGTTTTTTGCCCTCCAAAGGCGCAGATGCCGAGGATCCGGCTGAGGAAACTCCCCCAACCGAAGTATTTCCACTTGCCGAACTGGCTGCTTCGCGTTTCGCCTGCTCGGCGGCGGCATTTGCTTGTGCGTAGGCAGGTGAAGCGTTCGAGGTGGCAGGATTGGGATTACCGGCTGACGGTGCTTGGTTCTCCTGCGAACGGTTCATCTGCAGACTCTCCTCCGCCCGCGAAATAAGTTCGCTGGCCGATTCGTTCACCGAGAATCCCACGGTGACCACGAAGTCCACGTTGGCACCGCGATGCTCGACGCACTGGATGGTGGTGGTGTGATCGAATGGCACGCCCACCTGCTCGAGAAGATCCTGCACCGTGCAGGATTCACGGGGCAGCGTGAAGGTGATCAAACGCTGCTCACCGCTGGCCAGGATTACCAACATCTTGGCACTGTTCTTGTCGCGCTCCGCTATTTCCTGGCCAGCTCGGTTATTCAGCACATGTTGTGAGTGGATCTCGTAGTTATTGTGCGAGGTCTTCATCACTGAGGAACTTTGGGTAGTTGATGCTGGCGCAGGCAGAGGAGCCACCACTGCGGCCGGTACCGCCCGCTGAGGCTGCATGATCCTAGTGCCGGGGGCAAGCCGCCCGCAGGTGGTTGTGTGGGCGTTATTTTTGCCGTGGGACGAACCAGAGCTCCCGGCGCATTTGGTCGCATGGGTGCCAAGCCAGGATTTGGTGCGGGAACAGGAGCCGGCGAGGCTGTTAGCGTTTGCCGCTTCTTGTACTCTGCCAGGGTCATGCTGGCCCCGCTGGCAGGACGTATTCCTTGGGCCTGATTCTGAACTACCTGCTGCTGCTGCTGTTGCTCCTCTTCCTGCGGGGCTGCTCCCCCGGGATAGTAAGTGGTCAACGTGGTGCCCGTTCCTATTTGCATCGGTTGCAGTTGGTTGGGCGCCACGGCTTGTGTGGGCGGTGCGGGTTTTTGTTGTTCCTTCTTTAGCACGGCCGCCTGAATGCGTTCCTCCAAGTCCATGCCGATGTTACTCGGTTGAACCACTCCAGATGCAGGATTTGCCGCAGGCGCAGCAGGCTGAACTGGTGCCGAAACTTGCGAAGCCAAGCTTACGGGAGCGCGATAACGAATCGGAGCTTGGCGCATCATTAGCATGTGTTGGTGTTGCTGCTGCGGTGGCTGCTGTTGTTGTTGCTGCTGCTGCTGGGGACTTCCATCAGTAACCATGTGGGCGCGAAAGATGTGACGCGGCTGCTGCTGTTGCGCCTGCTGCTGCGGCTGACCGAGATTCGTGCTGATCGTAATGTGCTTCATTTGGGTGGGAGTCACTATTTGCATGGTCTGGCCTTCGCCGCCGCTCGTCTGCACCACCAGCTGAGCTCGAGTTGGTCGCACGCCCGTGGGACGCATGTTCCTAACCAGCCCGCCTTGCACACCACCCACCGCCCCTCCGCGCGGTCGCACTTGTCGAACGATGGTAGTGGGCGTGAGAGTGGGCCTGGTGGTTATAAGTGTTCCTGGCCTGGCCAAAAGTGCTCCTCTTTGGGAATTTTTTCTGAACGAGGTCCTCACGATTTGTGTTCCTCCCGTGGCAGTGGTGGTCACTAGTTGCGACTGCTGCTGAGCAACCAACTGAGGTTGTTGCTGCTGCGGCTGCTGTGGCGCCTGCTGCTGATGCTGCGGAACCTTTTGCACTTGCAACTGCTGGTACACGACGTTTTGCGTTTGCTGCGGCACCACTCGGGCCTGAACCAAATGGGCTGTTTGCGCGGTGGCCTGCAGCTGCATCTGCTGTTGCTGCTGGACTTGTTGTTGCTGCACCTGCTGCTGCTGTACGTGTTGCTGGATGACGTGCTGTTGCTGCTGCTGCTGTTGCGGCGATGTGGTATAAACGACGCGATTGTTGTAAGGATGAATGGCGGTCTGGCGCATAATAAGCTCCTGGTGCTGCTGGGCCTGGATCAACACGGGTTGCTGTTGCACAATCACGTGCGTATTGTTGAGCATCTATGTTCGGTAAAAATATTTATAAAATAAAAGGTTATCAGGGAAGATTAATTCAAAGCCATGTTGATATTTACAGGTAGATATCGATAAGAACAAAAATAGAATTTAAACAGTGGAACTGCTTAGTGAATGCACATTGGATTTTTCAACTTACACCTATGGGTCTTTGTGGCTGCTGGGTGGTGGTCATTCGGTAGACAATCTGCTGGTGCTGCTGCGGTTGCTGTTGCGCTGGCGATGTCTGCAATTGCAACGTTTGCGGCTGCTGCGTTTGCTGATGCTGCTGCTGGGGACTCTGCAGCAGTTGGGGTTGGCCTTGGGGAGCCGTTTGCACCTGATAGGTGGGTGCATGCTGCTGGTACTGCTGTTGCTGCTGCTGTTGTTGCTGCTGCTGCAGTACCTGTTGTTGTTTCTTTTGCTGCTGCATGTGTTGTACAATGGCATTTGGTTGCAGAACTTGCTCTGAAGTGTAGTAAATCTGCTGTGTATGCTGAATGGCGGGTTGCTGCTGCTGGTGCTGCACATAATGTTGTTGTTGCTGCTGCTGCTGTTGCTGCTCTAAGTGCAGTTGTTGCTGCTGCTGCTGTTGCTGCTGCTGGGCATCCTGCTGCTGGTAGTGAACCTGCTGCACTTGGTGTTGCTGATGGTGCATCACTACCTGTTGTTGTTGGGGTTGTTGCTGCTGCTGCTGCTGCTGTTGGTGTTGTTGCTGCTGCTGGGCGAGATCATCGCCTCCGATGATGTGGTATGTGGGTGCAGCTGACTGTTGAGGTTGTTGATATTGAGCAGGAGTCGCCGTTTGATAAACCACTTGCTGTTGGTCGTTAAACACCAACTGCTGGTCATCCTGGAGCACCAAGGACTAAAATGAAAAACGGTTTACAAATGCATTTATTAGGGCTTTTTGATACTACTCACCCCAACCTCATCTTGGGGCACTTGCACTACCTGTAGATCCGAGTAGACGGGCTCCTCTAAGGGCACTATATATTGTTCCATTTTTGGAAGCTATAAAAGGAAATAAAAAGTTTAGTTTTATGGTAAGAACTGAAAACATTTTAGTTTGTATTGCTTGAGTCCTAGGAGAAGTATATTTTTAATGACCCTCTGCTTAAATCCTTCGCATGGTACATTTAAAAATAAAATAGTACCGTAACATAAATAATACCAGGAATCGGTAAACCAAGTACGTTAAGTTAAATCATGTCCAGCCTATTTGAAGAATTTAAACAAATGAATAAATCAATTTTTTTTCTTACGTTTTTGATTATGCCATTAGTGTTAAAAAACTTTCAAATAATAAGTATAAACCTTATTTTTCATATATAACCAACTTTTGACACGTAAATATCCCATTTAAAACTCTTTAACTTAACAACTACAGATCTTGTTGTACGAGTCTCTTTTTTGAGACTTTTACGCAGACATCAAACACACATACAAAAACAAAGTTGGGGAACATATATAAAACATTTTCTGGGCAAATAATACAAATTCACATGGTTGGCAACGCGTTTTATCAATTCATTTTCAGTTTGCCAGCATATTTAACCTTTTAAAGCAAATTTATTATACAATTACTGGGCATTTCTTGTGCCTCATTTTTTGGCCATTCTCACCTACACACACCTCCTTCGACTTTCCAAAACTTGGAACTTTTTAGCGCCACACGCTCTGCTCGCACGCCAAAACACTTGAAATTCGATTAAATCATTTTTTCTTTGGCTTACTAAAATAATCACACGTTAATTTATCGCGTTTTTGCTTGAAAACTCTGGCTTTCTTTCTTGCAATAAAAATGGCGTTCACAATTCAGAGCAGCATTGGTGTTTTTTTTATCTGGCAATGCTCGGGACACAGCGCCACCTGGCGGTTGCGGCGGCTGTTTACAAACATTTTGCAGCGTTGCTTTGGCCCGCTCGTTTATCGATGTTTTCCTTGTGCCGTCGTCTTCGCCTAATGTTTAGTGGTCCCTCTGTTTGGCATGTAGCCCGTTTAAGGGGACCACTAAACGGTCGGGCCACTGGAGTTGGCTTAAAATCTAAAGATTTTAGCACTGAACGCGGGTTTTTAATGCTTCCTTTAATTGCTGGCCACATTTTGAAGTTATTTAGCGAAAGTCAATTGATTAAGATTTTTTGGCAGTTGATTTCGTTGTTTTTGAGCACTCTGTGTTTTGTTGTTTGCTGCGCGCTCTGGCGAATAGGGTAAAGAAGAAGAAGAGTGGCAACAACAACAGCGAAGGGAAGAGATGACAAAACGGCGATAGGTAGAAAAGCGATAACGCTGGAAATTTTGAATAGAAAATTATTTAAAGTATTGTATATAAACTAATATTTATAAATAAATATTTATAATAAATATATATTAAAGAAATACAACCTTGAGTACATTTTTTAATAAAAGGAATTTCAATAAATAATATAATAGCAATATATAATATAATCATAAGTCACATATCTTTGAAAAGGGAGTTATATGAGAAAAAGGCTCGTAACTTGATAATAGTTGAAATTGCTTATGAGTTGTAAGGACTACTTAACCACTTTTAACTTGAAATAACGGTAGTGATAAAACGCACAAAATATAAATATAAATTTTCAAGCAACATATCGCTAAGTCTTATCGAAAGTTATTTTGTTTTGTTGCTCATCCCTAATTCCGCAGTTTTTATTTTAATAACAATGTCCAAAATATTTACACCCACAAATCAAATTCGCCTTACAAATGTCGCAATTGTAAGGCTGAAAAAAGGAGGCAAGCGATTCGAAATAGCCTGCTATAAAAACAAGGTACTTTCGTGGAGGAATAACAGGTAAATTTCGCTAAAAGCAACACGTGTTTATGATGAAATGGTTTACTCATTAAAAATCGTTCGTTTTTTTCTTTTTATATAGCGAAAAGGATATTGATGAAGTGCTGCAAACGCATACAGTGTTCACGAATGTGTCCAAAGGACAGGCGGCCAAAAAGGATGAGTTGCAAAAGGCCTTCAACAAAACAGATGAGACGGAGATTTGCAAGGAGATTTTAAGCAAAGGAGAACTGCAGGTGTCAGAAAAGGAACGCCAAAGTTGTTTGGACACTCAGCTTAATAGTATCGTAAATAGTGTAGCTGCTTTATGTGTAAATCCAGAGACACGTCGTCCATATCCCGCCTCTATAATTGAAAAATCCTTGAAAGATGCTCACTTTTCCGTAAAGATGAACCGAAACACTAAGCAGAACACACTGGAGGCCATCAAGATGCTCAGGGAGCACCTTCCCATTGAAAGATCACGTATGAAGCTGCGTGTTAGCTTTGCAGGAAAGGAAGGCGGTGGCAAGCTAAAGGAATCGGTTGTAAAACTGGCAAACACCGTGGAGCACGAGGAATGGGACGAGGCCACTTTACACCTCACTTTGCTTATAGATCCTGGTCAATACCGGGTCATCGATGAGCTGGTGAGGAATGAAACAAAGGGGAAAGGTCTCCTGGAGCTCCTTGAACTGAAGGAAGTCGTGGAAAGTGAGGAACTCTTCTAGGCCTGTAAGCCCCTTTTAGAATGGATCCTCTTTCTTGAATATTTGTTGATATTTATGTGAAACATAAACTTATTACACCCCGAGGTTTTGTTTAAATTAGAGGTGTGTTTTTATCGGGTTTCCTTTATTCAATCTGAACATTTAAATGGTAAGATTATATAAAGGGTAAACTAACACTTCGAAAAGTGGTGAGCTCAGCATTTGAATTGAACTTCTAAAGATTTTCAGACCTTAGAAATAACAAACTGTAAGCTTATCTTGCATTCGGGAACTGAATTCAGATATTTGTTTTTGTTAATACTTATACAGAATAATTCCGAGAAAATGGATCCGCAATTAAAATAAACCAAGGGTTCTTTACATATATGTGATTGTTTATATAGAACAGGATCGAGATTATAACAAATATACTGTAGATTAAAAAAATTCATCTGCTGCCCAGCTTTACTTTCGCTTTTTGAGGTTCTCAAAACGTCGTGAAAGATCGTCGAAGTCAATCTCTTCCTCGTCGTCCTTTTTTTCGGCACCTGCACCGGGAATATCTGGCAGATCGTTGGGCACGTTAGGCAACGATGGAAAATCCAGCGCTGGAGGAGCACTTGGGAACGTGGGATTACCCGGCGGCAGCTTTGATCGGGGTTGAGGTTTCGGTTTGTTGGCATTCTGCGAAGGGAACACAATAAAAATTAATTAACTTATTTATATTTTAAATAGCGCAAGCCGTTAAATTTAAAATCCTTCTTTTTCTGGTTTTTTAAAATAGTTTTAAATTTTGTTGATTAGTTTTTGATATCAATGTTACTAAAATAGCATTTAATTGAGGGGCTCCACGAACAAAAAATAATTATTTCCTGATTAAAAAATATTTCAGAAAAAAAAGGTTTATATGTACAAAATTATAGTTATGTGCTTGGGTCAAATAAAATGTCCTGACCTGGAGGTTTACGGGATTAATCGAGGTGTAACGCGGCGGCGGGTCGTTATCGGGTTTGGGGCGCTGTCAAGCAAAATTAAAGAAAACATAAGGCAAATTCAAAATAAAAATAGTGGCTTAACAAATCAATAAGGCACATCAAGACGAAGCAAAATGATAACAGGTGGGCAGACAGTGGGCAGCAAAGTATGAATCACTTGGATGACTGGACTTACACGCACAGTGGGCAGAGGGAAACCAAAAGACGTCACACAGAGATAAACAGTGGGGAGAGGAACCCACGGAAGCGATTTTTGTTTGTTTAGTGATGTTGCAGAACGAGAAGCAAGTTAGTTGTGGGTTTAACAGCATTCTACACAGAGATAACCTACCAAAATATTCTCATCCGGGCTGCCCGAGCCATCCGTATTGTTCGATTCACGCTGCAACAGCCCAAAAGTCATGCAAAAACATGCGGAAACTTAACTAAGAACTATCTTCAAAGGAGGTTCTGAATACTTCATGCAGTTGCGATGGAAATACCAGAAGTGTGAGTCGAACTTTAACCAGTTTTATGATAGTTTTTTCGTATATTAAAATTGTATTACGTCTCAATCGCAACTGGATGATCTAATTCTTTTTCTTCTGCATTATTAATTAAATTGTAAGGTGCATATTTACATTGATAAAGTTGGTGTTCAGATCCTTTTCCTCGGCGCATTTAGCAGGCAGGACTGCAGGTGGTGCCGGCTGATTGGGCGGTATATTGTAGGCGAACGGCGGTGGTGGATGCATCGGCTGTGGAGCGGCACATGCTCCGGCCGGAGCTCCTCCCCCTCCGCCACCACCTCCTCCGAAAGGTGGGTAATTGAACGGCTTCACACTGGGCGGTTCCGGCATATGAGGCAGTGGAGGCACCGCCGGATATCCAATGAATCCCATCTGCGGTGGGGGAGCACCACCGCCACCACTCAAGTTGTTCCTATCTGAAAGGTCAATCAAATGCGGCTGCTGCGGTTGATCCTCCTGCATGACCTGCGGATCCGGCTCGTACTCAATGTTGTAGTTCTTGGCAATGGCAATAAGGTAGTTTTCGACCAATAGTTTGGGTGGCGCCTGCAACGTGAGCTTGTGCATCAGTTTCTCCGATACGAAGTGCTCCCCAGTGGCTGTTCGCGATTGCTCAGCGAATTGGGGCCCGTATTTGGTCACAAATATATCCGATATGATCTTCAGCTCCGCTATATCGCTCTGGAGGCGGGGACACACCCACACCAAGCTGGCTACCGGCTCAGCGATCCCAGTGTCAAGTTCTTTCATTTGGGTAATCAGACCAAATCTTGCTAGCAACAGGTCACAGTACATCTCCACCATTTCCATGGCCTCCACAAGGTAATCCTCCCTAAAGTGTACATATATAGGTGACATATTGGGGTTATGCTATTGATGTACCCACCTAATAATGTGCTCTACACGAATCCGAGCTCTCTCAGTTTTACCCGTGGCCAAATAGTCGGCTATTTCCTTCCTCGACTTTTGGGCGAGCTCCGCCTTCTTTTTCTCCAGCAATTTCAGACGGTTAAGAGCCAATCGAAGATTGGTCTTCAGTTTGTTGTAGTTGGGGCCGCTGGAAAACATCTTAGTTTCTCCCTGGACAGCCGATTTACTAATGAAAACAAGGAATTTCGCCTAGTGATTCATTCAGGAAAAACAATTGTTGTGACGTCACATTAGAGCTGACATAATGGAATCGATAGAAGATATCGATATTTACGTCTTCATGTCAGATTTTTCCAAGTTTCCGATGGTTTGCGCAAAGGTGACCCAAAACAGGACTTCCGCATCCCATAACTTTTGTAATTTTTGACCGATTTTAAAGTGACATAGCTTTAAACGATTATTATGAATAACCTCAACGGTCTGCGTTTAAATTTTTAATATAAATGAATCTCCTATTGAATTAATATTGTAGACAAGATCAATATTATATCTTATATCTTAATATTTGGTTTGGTTTGTCGAGCTTTATTCGTTGAATTTTTGGTAACACAAAAACCTTTAACAATTATTCAGTTTACAATTTGCCTTTCGATTCCGTTTCGCCGCCGCCGCTGTGCAATTGTGTTTGGCGCCCGATTGCGAATCCTGCGGTAAATCGAGTCCTTCGCCAGACACAACAACAAAGTTGCAGCCAACCTTGACTTAAAAGCGGTTCTTTTGCAGGTGTGTGTGTGTGTGTGGGTGGTGTACGTGTGTGTGGGGTTGGTTACCGCCGTTCTTGAGGACTCGAATTGATAACTAAACGCAAACGAAATCATTTAGAGATGAGGAGGCGGTGTCGGTGGATCGGGGCACTCTTCCGTTTCCGTTTCGCAAGGACACGCCTCCATTTCGTCGATGGCGCAGCCCTCCTCCTCACAGATGTCGACACTCTTGGCGGATGGCTCCGTCTCGCCGTCCTTGTAGCCGGCATAGATCTCGGCCCGCTGCTTGATGATCTCCTGGATAATGGCCGTGAGGATCTCGCGCGAGTCCACGATGTGGCCCACTTCCTCGGCCACCTCGGCGGACAGCCACGGGCAGATGCTCTTCATCAGCTGCTCCTTCTTCACGGCATCACTGGCCGGCTCGATGTTCTCCAGGACCTCCGGCACCAGGCTGGCAATGTGTCCCTGGAGCAGCTTGGCCGCCGTCACGCTCTTCTGCATCTCGGCGTCCAGCTCCTTGGCAATCGCGTCCTGGCGCAGGCGGCGCTCCTTCTCCGCCTGCAAGCGCACCTCCTCCGCCTCCAGGCGACGCAGCTCGGCCAGCTCTGCCTCCCTCTGGGCGAGGAATCTGTGGGTAATCATGGGAAAAGATTAAGTGGGGAAAAGGAAATGCTATATGCAGTATATCCCTGCGCTATATCCCTGAGATATTTTACCATATTTTTTTCTATAAAACTATATTTTGTAAATATTTGTGGAGCTTGTGGAGCACTTACTCTTCCTGTTTGCGCCGCAGACTGGCCAACTCCATCTCGTGGGCCACCTCCAGCATGCTCTGCTCGATGCAGGCGTCCACCAGGACATCGATGATGGGCTGCGCCTCGGCATCGAAGTGGAAGAGTTCGCCGTCGCCGATCTCGGTGCCCACGTCCACGCCCACCTTGGCCGGGACGAAGGGCGGCGTCGGTGGCTTCTCGAGGAAAAGATCCGTCTGGGTGTCGATGGAGAACTCCGGCGGGCGTTGCACCAGCTTCTCCAGGTACTTCTCCGTCTGGATTGTCTCGTGTTTGCGACCCTTGACCGGCGGGGGAGTTCCCAGGACATTCCTCTGGTTGCGGCACTGCATCGTCCTCTTGCGCAGCATATTGCGGCGCCTCAATTCGGCGGCCTTGTCGAAGGGGTCCACGTCCGTCTGGAGCGGAAAGCAAAGCGGATTAGTCGCGGGTCAGGGCTGCCGGCGGACTGAGCCCCGGAAAACGAAACCTACCACCATGGAGGAGTTGCCGAAGTTGCTGCCCTTTATAACGCGCCGGTCGTACATGACGTTCTTGTAAGGCTCCGGCGGCGGGACGATGGGTCTGCAAGGAGAGGAAACGGAGCAGGTGGAAATGAAGGAGGTGTCGACCGGCGAGAGCCATCAATTAGTGAACCTCGACCCAGTTCAACAAACTGCACATGCAGCTTAAGGCAACCCTTGCAAAAAGATCTTATAAATTATTGTATAAAAATGTAAATGCTTAAAAAAAATAATACTTTTTCATGATTAATGTTTAAACGAAGATTTCATGAAATTCTGAATATAAATTCTTTAACTTCTTCCTCCTTTTAATAAAAGAATATTATACAACAGTTGGACAGAATCTGGTTGTTGTTGTTTAAAATGGGGTGATATTATAATGATCATTTTATCAGCAACTTAAGTCGTAATTATATATTGTTAAACGGTTAACCATTAATTTGTTTATTATGAAAAGCCTATATGGTGTTTGCAGTTAAAATTCCAATGGATATCTTTGTCGCAGTGCACTTCTATTTTCTTTGTAGACCCTAAATCTGTTGCACTTTCAAGGCGATAAGCATCAAATTTGTGCCTTTCTCAACGCCCTCGCAGGCCGCTTGTCAAGTCATCTCCGATTCGAATCAATTTCCCGAAAGTTCAGTACACTTTTGGGTCAGATGGCGGGGCACGGACTTAAAGCTTTAAGGTTACGCGAGTCCAGTTCGCAGCTGGTGAGTAATTTATGACTTGCTAATTTACTATATACGTAGAAGGGGCGGCGGCAGGAAGGCGGGGAAACAAACATTTTTTACCGCATGTGCACCTTTGCGGGGCACACAACATTGTCAGACATTGCACTATGGCATAAGAACCAGGAGAACTTGGAGAACTTGGCACCTGAACTCGTGACCTATGCAAATTTTCAGCTACTTTTGGCCCACAAACAGGAAGTCACATTGAAGTTGCTGGCGAATGTCTAACAACGTTTCTCTGGGTCTGGGTCTGAAGTCCAAAGCAATCAGCTAATGGAACGAGGAACCCATAGTCCGGTTTCCGTATGCCTATTACTTTGGATATACCCTGCACAGAAAATATACTTTTGGTTGCCAGTATTAGTTTTCATTTTTTACAAGGTATTTAAAACAATCAAACTGAACTGTGTGAGTTGTTCTTATTATGACCCAATGACTTGCATTCACTTAACTCTTCTCTCCCCTCTTGAATGATATTTCATAATATTTTTTAACCCAAAAAAAAAGGAGTCCCATTTACCAGAACAACAACCATTTAAGGGAGACAACCGCCGCAGGACCTGTTTTTGTTTTGTTTTCCATAGGTGTCCTTCTAACTCTTTTGGTGTGGTAATTGAACTTAATTTCCCTCCATTTGTGGCAGTATTTTTTTGCTGGTTTTCCCCCATTGTTGTTGTTTACGAAATCTAGATTTAAATTATTTAAGCGCCGAGCTGGGAATATAGGATATTCTCCTCTGACACGACACATTCAAGGGTCCTTTGTCCGCCGCGTTCGCATGTCCTTTTATGCAAGGCAAACGAGTTTCCCATTCGAGAATGCGCCAAATAAATTAATCAAACCGCTCGGGGAATTTACAATGTCCAAATGTTATTGGAAAAGCATTTCTAATTGAATTGTTGAAAAGTCAATAGATGGTTGCAAGAGGGGGAAAATGGATGGAAAATGGGGAAAATTGTCTGGGGAACAACTTTGTGTTCTATTTGTCTATCTCTGCATCTAAAATACTTAACCTCTTGAAAATCAAGAAAATTATTACAATCATTTTAACAAATCGAATCTTTACCCTAATATTAATGATTGTTTTTATAAGAAGAGCAAAATCATAAAGAAATAGAAGTGTGGCACTTGTTAATTGGTATTCATAAAGATCTAAATTTAAATCTACTTCTTTCAAGGTAATACTAACTTTGTTATACCTTTCTTTAAGAAACCTCATTAAAGTCTAAATATACTTATAGCATTCAGAGAAAGAAACCTTTCTAATTGAATTGTTCGGGTGTCAATCGATAAAGGTCGCAAAAGCAAAGTTCTGGTTCCATTTTCATTCCCGCCCGGCAGTATATTCCTCATTTGAATTTATGGTAATATATTTTGGCCCACTTTGCCCCGGTCAGTTGTTGGACCTTCCCACCTTGGCTTCCCCTGCCTTTTCCCTTCTGGTTTTTATTTAGCCCCATGTAGCCCCACACTTTTTGGGGGTTGGCCTTTTTATTACCTTTTGTCGGCGTTGTGGTTGCGGCGCTGCTGCAACTGCTGTTGGAACTGAGCCTTGGTGATGTGCAGACCGCCGGCGAGGGATTGCGAATCGTGCGAGGACTTGGAGGCCGCGGCTGTGGCAGCTGCCACCGCTGCCGTGGCACGCACTCCGTTCAGCCGGGTGGCGGCCACCTTGTGCTCCTTGAGCTCCTTGCTCTCGCTTGAGACATCCTTGCTGCTCGTGTAGTAGCTCTGAAGGATCATGGGATAGGAGGAGTAGGCGTAGACATGCCTGCGCAGCATGGTGGCCGGAATCATCTGGACTTCGTGCGGCGGCGGCAGGAAGATGCCCTGCGGCACCGTGGTCTCGAAGCGGGGCCTCTGCGCCATGGCGGGATCCATCCAGGCGCCGGAATTGGCGCTCTGGCGACCGCCGTACGAGTTCTCCTCCGGCGCGAGGAAGCGCAGCTTCTGGCTCAGCTCATCGGCGAAGCTGCGCACCTCCTGGTTGCTGCGGGAAAAGAAGGATCGCTGCGGCGGGGGCTCTACATCCTGGTCGTTGTCCCGGCGATCCGCTGTGGCCGCCTCCTCCCGCCGAATCGGACGCACGATGGCCTGTTGGGGTCGCGAGGGATACGACGAGTCGAGCTCCTGCTCCTCCGACGGCTGGTGGCGCAGCACGGAGAACGCGTTGGTCACCACGTGCTGGAAATTGTAGGGACTCTGGTACCGCTGCACGTTCAAACCGGACGAGTTGTAGTTGGAGTTGGAGCTGGGGTTATAGTTGTGGTTGAGGTTGTAGCTTGACTTATAGCTGGAGTTGTAGTTGGAGTTGGAGACTCGTCCTGGTGCGTAGGGATAGCTGCTGGCGAAGGAGAAGTTCTGCACGCGATCCTGTTGTCTATTGTCGGGAAAGTGCTCTGGATTCGGATTCGGATTCGAAAGGGGAAAGGGTTCTGGATGTGAGAGTAGTTGTGCTGGGTGCTGCTCCTGTTCCTGCGTCTCTGGCATGGTCTCCGCTTCCGGCTCGGCTATCCGCGGTCCCGGCCACCGGTCACCTCGTTCATTATAAATAGCCACCACTCGCTCCTCTCACCCGCCGCACCGAAAAGCCGAATAGCCGAAAAAGTTAATCAATACTTTTCCTATGTTTTCGTGGCTCGTGGCTCGCTGCCCGCTGCTCAGGTGTTGCTCTGTTGGGGTTTGCTTTCTTTTCAACGCGGAACACGTACCGCTCACTTCGAATGGCGAACGCCAAATGACCAAAGGACTCGCAGGACTAGCAGGACTCGCGCTCGGACCCGGCGACGATATTGATTCGGCCCTTGGTCAGCGGTCGGTCGTGCAGTCGGAAAAACATTGGAAATGGTTTCTGGGAATTTTTAGCTTTCGCTGTCCTTGGGTTTCTTCAAACGGATTTCCCAAAATAAAACTTTTTTTTTAGGAATAATGCTTAATAAAACATAATTCCGTTTTATAAAACATAGATTGGAAAACAATAATTTCTTTAAGATGTTTTCATTTTTAAATGGTTTTAGAAACTTGTTTATGCAACTTTAAATAACATTTTTATCTTGATTGCTATATAAATTTAATTTCGATCATATATTTGAAATTTTACTTCTGCTTTGCATAATCTGATAAATCTTCAAAGGAGTTGTCTTATTATGTTTTATGGTATTTCTCACATTCCGAATTGCAAACTTTATTTTAAGTAATTTTTCCGAGTGTTTCTTTAGTATTCGAGTCGTAGTTTAAGGCAACCGATGGGCAGGTGTTGCAATAATAATGCGAACTGTTAACAGTCAGAACAGCCGCGTTGGCATGGACAAATCAAAGTTCCCAGGAATTCTACTTTGCATAAAAGCCTCTTTTTTCCCACCCAGGTCGTTGGGCCTCCAATTAAAGGTCCTGCCGGGTGGAGGACCTTGAATTTCATTCGATGGTGTCCACATTTCCTGTCGCCTTGTTGGAGATGACTTCACGCATTTCGCTGGCTGACATTGAAATCGGAGGTGGGTGGTTCGGCGACTACTACTCGGAACTTGGAACTTGGAACTCCCCCCGCGTAATGTCAATGGCCAAGGTCAATTCGGACTGTTCGGACTGCCTGATAAGCGGAATTCAACAGCAAACTGAGCATAATTAAGTGGATTTCTTGGCACTTCAAGGAGGTGCTCATGTGGGTGTGGTAATGAGAAAAGGTCAGAACGCAGATTTCAGATAATTGCTAGAAGGTTTGTGGGTAATTCATCAGAAGCTCAACAGCTCTACTTTATGATTGAAGAACAGGTAGTAACTCTGAAGGCTTCTTCAAATCTACGATTCCAATCATCCAATAAATTTGGGTTATTGGTTGACCTTCAACCTTTAAGGTGGAGCCCCAAAAATCACTTTAATTAACAGGGAAAAGACATACTGGTTTCATATGTCAAAATAATGTTATAAATATTATTATTCTCCCACACAATGCTATAATATAATCATCAAGATTAATCAACTTAATATTGACCTCAATTAGATTTAAGTTTAGGAGGGTCATGAATTGGCTATAACTTAATATCGATGCATTAAAGTTTACTGTATTTTTATCACACATTCGGATCATCCTTGTTCCCATTTTGACCTTAATCCGACCCAAGTCCAGCCCCCGTCATTATCTATAGTCCGATATGAATATATATATATATATCTTTTTATGATAGTGCGTCAGTTTCTAGTTTTGAGCACTCAACGACTTGCACACTCCTCATAACTTCCCCTCACCATCCTTCCCCACTTCGCCCATCAGTTCTGCCTTTCCTTTCGGGACACGAAGGCTCTATTCAAAATGGAAGCCGGCTTGCGTGCCCTTTGCTTGGCCATTGTATTGACCATCACCCGAACACGGCCAGCGTTTAATAATTTATTTACGCAATTTATGACTTTCGTTTTTGGTCTCGGATTCCATTGACCCCGGTAGGGAGACATGTGGAAAAACCCTTTCCCAAGGTGTTAAAGAAAGAATTACTGAGCACATTTCTTGAGCTTTAAAGTGTCCATCATATAAATATGATTGTTAATAAAATAAATGCTCGTATAATTAATTTTAGCTTAATAAAAGTAATCTAATAAATATGCAATGCATATACTCGTATATAATATTTGTTTTTGTTTTGAGTACTTGTTTGTGAAACAGATTTCCTAAAGTTGTTTATCATTAAATGAATATTACTTTATTTTACATTAATGTAGCCTAATATTCCCTAATATTTTTATAGTATATAGAGGATATGGAAAATCCCTTGGGTGTTTTCTGTTTGCTACTCACTTGGGACAACCTTTGATTTTGATCGGCTTGGGCTGGCTGGCCCACCAGAACGCCTGTTTGCATGGAGGCGCGGGGCAGGGATTCTCGTGCCACTTCAACTGCATCTCGGTGACCTCCGTTCCCTTGATTCCCGAGCTGAGGAAATCCATTCCCCCGGAGCCCTTTCCCCCGCCATTTGGCTTGTATTCCCGCTTCGGGATCGTCGGCATTGCTCACTTTTCACTTGTTAGGTTTTTGGGGTTTAAAAAATATTATTTTATTTATCGGGTTAAGGTCTACCGCTTGTCGAATTTATGTGTAAAAAAGTGAGTGACACATTTTTGAAGGGTTCTTTGTTGAACACATGATTATATTTTTTGCTTTTTAAAAAAAGTTCTATTAATTAATTTTTGGTTGTATTTTGCTGACATTGGTTAGAATTTGTATCCAAAATAAACAACAACGGCGGAATTTCCTCAGTTGCCATGGGAATTCAATGTCGGCATTGTTAAACTGTTGCTGTGTGGGGATGGGTTTTTGGCAAGGAGTGTGATTAAGTTGCTTTCTCGGTTGCATTGCGCACTATTCAAATTAACTCTCGATATATTTTATACATTTTTTTATTAAATATCTAACGAATATACGGTTCTCTCTATTTATATAAGCTTCTTTCAACTCAGGTCACTCAACTACTCCATATATTATTCACAACTGACTGCCTTTTAGTATGAGGCATCTATTATTATGTCTTATAAGCAATCAGAAAGCCAAGTGACCACAAATGGCTTAAAGAAGCTTTTTTAGCTTTTTGGTTGGAAGTTGGGAGTGTTGTTTGTGGTGGTTCTGAGGCCTTTTTGTCGAAATAAATTTTATATTTACCTTTTCTTAATAATTTCACAGATTTTACTTTTAGGCTGTCAAGAAAAACTTCTGATATTATAATATAATCTAACATTATTCTTAAAAATCACGTTTTAAATTTGTGTTATATTTTTTTGTTAGCGCTGAAACATTATTGAATAAGCTAATTTTTAAAGTTTTAAATTTCAATTGTAACGGTGTTTTTGCTAACTGCTTGTTAACCCTTATGTTATTTTTACTGCTTGACGATGTTTTTCTAACAATCTGGCAACTCTATTAGGCAGTGCTATTAAAAGCAGTTCACCGATTCTATGTTTTGGCAAGCAGGGTATAGCAAATCTAACGACTCAAGCAGTAATTTTATTTGAATTCATTTGACAGCTTGCATTTCATAAAATTTGTAACCAGTTGGTTTTCTAGAAATTGGTAAAAGAAAATTGTATCTCTTTTCCGGCTATTTTGCAAATACAAGATATGAAAATATTCTCAATAATTCTACGCATATCAACGTGTAAGCTTAAATAATTTTATAGGATAAGGGAGGTTTTAACTTAATAGCTGGACTATTGAAAACGCAACTACTAAATAATCGAGGGTTGATAAAATACTTTGGATTTGTTCCTTTTAATGCCTAATTACTTACACAACTACCTTTTTTATCTGAAGTAATAAATTAACTATCAAAAAAGGGGTGTGTCCAGCCTACGCACGACAGAAGTGAAACTTCTTCATCACTACTCATTTTTATACACTTGCAGAGCAAAAGGGTATTATAATTTCAGTCAGAAGTTTGCAACGCAGTGAAGGAGACACCTCAGACCCCATAAAGTACAGTCAGCGCCACAAAAAAAGCCGCACTTTGAAGGTTTACGAATTTACAACTTTCAGGGCCTGTTGTTTCATTATATGATTGCGGATTCGCCCAATTTTTTTTTTAACAAGTTAACTGATGGTATGTTAATAAAAGTGCATACCAATTTTTATTTTAAATTTGTTTTTAATATTAATAAAATTTTTTTTTTTGGTTTCAGTTAAGCCGACGTTGAACAGTTCGCTCCGAAATATCTTCTGAAAACTGTTCATGTACCTCAGATCTTATCTGCATTGCAGTTTTGAAACGATTCTGCAGGCTCGTTCTCATAATAAAGCGATCTTCACGTGACGTGGTGCATTTTTTTTCACCTGTCCCTTTTTTCCTTTTTAATTCACCTGTCTGACGATATTTTTTTTTAAAACGACGCACTGAGCTTTCATTGAAATGTGTTTCAGCCGCTATTTGCAGATTTGACTCATTTTGTTCAGCCAATAAAATAATTTTTTCTTTATCGCGATCAGTGAACTGCTTTTGCTTTGGCATGATTTTACTGGTGTCTTTACAAAAAAAATTCTACCAAAAGCAACTTAAGCAATAGCGCTCTTCAAATGACGAAATTATGTCGAAAATAGTTAAGGGAAACCTCCCTAAAAAAATAATGCCCAGAGAATAAAATTTAGGGGAACCCAAGCATAGTGACTGCACGATTTCCAAATTTTTTTAAGTGCGGCTTTTTTTGTGGCGCTGACTGTATATATATTCTTGATCAGCATCACGAGCAGAATCGGAATACGTCTGTACGTCTGTCCGTCTGTCCATCTGTCCGTCTGTTCGTTTCCGCGCAAACTAGTCTCTCAGTTTTAAAGCTATCTTGCTGAAACTTTCCCAAAAGGTGTGTAATTATTGCACGCAGTATATAAGTCGGAACGGGCCGGATCGGCCGACTATAAAGGATAGCTCCCATACGAGGGAATGAAATGAAAAATTCTCACGCCGGTGTTTTTCGTCAGATCTACTTGAATTCTTCAAGATGGCGTTTTCTAACTGTTATTGAATTTCGGATTAAATTTGATCAAAATCGGATAACTCTATCATATAGCTGCCATAGGAGAGATC